GCAGTCAAGAAATCAAATGATGTATTGCATTAGGCAAATCTGCTGCACAAGACCTTTTTAAAATATTGAAGAGCAAAGATGTCAGCTTGAGGACTAAGGTGCGCCTGACCCAAGCCATGGTATTTCCAATAACCTCATATGCATGCAAAAGCTGCACAGTAAATAAGAAAGTCCATAGAAGAATTGATGCTTTTGAGTTATGGTGTTGGAGGAGAATATTGGAAGTGCCATGGGCTGCCCGTAGAACCAACAGATCTGTGTTGGAAGAAGTGCAGCCAGAGTGCTCCTTGGAGGCCAGGGTGGCCAAACTTCTTCTCTCATTCTTCGGACATATTGTCAGGAGAGACCAGTTGCTGGAGAAGGATATCATGTTTGGTGAGGTGGCGGATCAGAGATAAAAAATGGATTGGCAAAGTGGCAGCATCAATGGGCTCAAGTGTGGCAATAATTGTGAGGTTGGTGCAGGACCAGGCAGTGTTTCATTCTGCTGTGCTTAATGCCACAATTAGTCAGTACCAATTCGATGGCACCTAACAACAATGACAACATGAAAATACTTATTTTTAAAACTCATTTCTTCCATTATGCCTATTAGGGATATTGGCTATAGGAAAGAAAAACTTTCACTTTTAATTTTGAAATCCTAATAAGCCTGACCAGCGGTATCTTACTTTTCATGATACCCCTAAATACAAATTTTAAATGTAACTGAATGGAAACCTCTAATCCTTAATTAACCAAAGAGCTTATGCAAATACTTTCTTCACTATAATGATGTTATGATGAATATTTTTCTAAAGAGAATAAATGTTTTCTAATGATCATATTTTATTTCCATAAGTAAATGTGGCAGTCTATCTTAGCTATCAAATTTTCTCTAAACAAGGAACTATAGAAGAGATTCCACCTAGCCATGTTTAAAAAAAAAAAAAAATTGAGGCACATATTCTGTGTTTTCATTATTAAAAATGTTTTTCCTGTTCCTTTAAAAATCTTTTAAATCTCATGACATTATAGTGTTGACTTTAAAAAACAGGATGTTTTATATGCAGTAAAATTTTATTCTCTACTTGAAAATATTTCCTAAGAAGTCCCAGTTTTAAAAGAAAACTGTGTGCAGCTTACGTTTTTCTGCCCCTTTCCATTTATTTGTTCTTGATACTATGTATATATGGGTATATGTATATAAAATATACCTCAATACATAAATATAAAAAATTTTCCTGAGGAAACACATTGTTGTTGTTGTTAAGTGCCATCCAGTCAGTTCTGACTCATAACGACCCTGTATAGGGTTTCTGAGAAGCAGCTGGTGAGTTTGAATCGTTGACCTTGCGGTTTAAACTGACCTTGCAGTCCAGCGCATTAACCCACAGTGCCACACCAAAAACACATACTACCTGTTTGTGATTGCACTAACTTTACAGTCTATAAAAATGGAATTTTAATTTTTAGGCTGTTTTTTTTTTTTTTTAAGTGAAGTAGCATTTCCTTTATTTGATGACAAATACTTAGTCTTGATGCCAATACATAGTTAGTTACAGCTATTGCTGGTTTTCTTTAAGAGGCTAATGTTATTACCAACTTTTCATTCTTTACTGAGATCTTTTACTATAGAGTGATAAGAAGGGGACCTTTCCCAGGGGAATGCTATCTAAAACCTCAAAATCAAACCCACTGCAATCAAGTCAATATTGACTTATAGTGACGCTGTATTGGTTTCTCAGACTGTACATCTGTATTAGAACAAAAATCCTCAACTTTCTCCTGTGGAGCCAGCCGCTAATGGATTTGAACTGTTGATTTAGTGGTTAGTAGCTCAGTGCTTACCCCATAACACCACTAGGGCACCTTAGAATTCTATATATTCAAGTATAAAGTACCTTAAAATACATCATCTTCCTATATTGGATCGATTTAGGATCATTAATGAATATTTTCTCAAATTCTTTTATTGCTTTTTATTGCAGTTTAAAGTACTGTCTGAGTATTTTTTGATTTTTCTTCTGTGACCGTTCTTTCTCTTATTGAGATTGTAATGGATTTGGTGGAGTACAAGAATAGAGCTCAATTTCAGTCCTTGTTCTTCCCTTTTTTCCTTTATCTTCTTTATTAGTTATTGTTCAGTGCCATTGAGTGGGATCCAACTCATAGCGACCCTGTATATGGTTTCCAAGGAGCAGGTGGTGAGTTTGAACCACCAACCCTGTGATTGAAACCAACTTTGCAGTCCAGTGCTTTATCCTATAGTGCCACACCAGGACATTATTGGCAGAAAGGTGTATTTATCTGGTGCAAAAATAAGCTCATTTTATGATTCAGCCTGTTTTAAAAAGCTAGTACCAATTTTTTTTTCTTTCAGATCTCTATAAAAATGGGCTTCAAAGAGCTAACTTTGTACCATTCATAGCCATCCTGAAGGTAAGAAAAATCACTTATAATCAGTTTATTCACTGATACCATATTGATTAATAATCAAGGACATTTATTCAATTTTCTTCATGTTACGGTAAAGCAGAATTCATTTTGATATTTCGAGAGTAATAGTCAAACATACTAAAGGAGAAAAGAACCTTATTTATATAGTATTCATGCATGTGTACACTGGAAAATTACAAAATATAGTCTAAATTATTCTCTAAGTGAAACATTTGTTCGTTTGCATTTTATAAATTTTAATTTGAGGTTTGCTCATAAATATTATAGTAGAATGTTTAAACTTATACATTTATTTCTGAAAAAAATGTTTAATGTTCCCTGTTTTCTTCAGGTTAATGGCCATTATTAACATGTTTTCTCATCTATTAAAGTTGCTATTCTAGAGTAGCATTATTACAAAAAATATTCTAATATATTTAAATGTGATTGCCATCAAGTTATCACGAAATTATGTCAAGTTGAGGCACATAAATAGTTTAAATATTTGTGTGTATCATCACTGCATAAAGTTTAAAATAGTCTTCATTACAATATGATTCAGAATAAAATAGCCTCCCTGTTCACTGTTAATTCTAAGTAGTTTTTTTGGCATGGTTATTAAATATTTCCACATTCTACCAATACTTATTGGGCACTTACTACATGCAAAATACTTACAGTAGGCATAATTGATAATATCATGAAACAGAGTATGTTTCTTGCTTGCAATTCATTTATAATCTAGTCACGGACATAGATGTACGTAAAAAACTGCAGATAACTATAACACAAACTAGATTGTATTAAGTTCCAAAAAGAAGCACAATTCTATGCTAAAATATAATTCTCTTACAATTCCTTGTTGTTGTTGTTAGGTGCCATCAAGTAGGTACCGACTCATAGCAACCTTATGCACAGCAGAACGAAACACTGCCCGATCCTGGGCCAACCTCACTACTGTTGCCATGCTTGAGTCCATCAATGCTGTCACTTGGCCAATCCATCTTGTTGGGGGTCTTCTTCTTTTTCTCTGACCCTCCACCTTACCAAACATGATATCCTTCTCCAGTGACTAGTCCCACCTGACAATATGTCCAATGTATGAGAGACAAAGGCCATCCTGGCCTCCAAGGAGCCCTCTGGCTGCACTTCTTCCAAAATGGATCTATTGGTTCTTTTGGCGGCCCATGGCACTTTCAATATTCTCCTCTAACACCGTACCTCAAAAGCATCAATTCTTCTACGATCTTCGTTATTCACTGTCCAGCTTTTGCATGCATATGAGGTTATTGAAAATACCATGGCTTGGGTCAGGTGCACCTTAGTCCTCAAGCTGACATCTTTGCTCTTCAATGTTTTAAAAAGGTCTTGTGCAGCAGATTTGCCTAATGCAATACTTCATTTGATTTCTTGACGGCTGCTTCCGTGAGTGTTGATACTTGATCCAGTAAGAACGAAGTCCTTGACAACTTCAATCTTTTCTCCATTGATAAGAGTGTTGTTTATTGGTCCAGTGGTGAGGATTTTTGTTTCTTGACATTGAGATGTAATCCATACTGAAGGCTGTGCTTTTTGATCTTCATCAGTAAATATTTTAAGTCCTCTTCACTTTCATCAAGCAAGGTTGTATCATCTGCATATCGTAGGTTGTTAATGAGTCTTCCTCCAATCCTGATGCCACGTTTTTCTTCATATAGCCCAGCTTCTTGGATTATTTGTTTAGCATACAGGTTGAATAAGTATGGTAAAAGAATACAACCCTGTCACACACCTTTCTTAATTTAAAAACATTCAGTGTTCACATGTTCTGTTTGAACAACTGCCTCTTGGTCCAGGTACAGATTCCTCATGAATACAATAAAGTGTTCTGGAATACTCATACTTCATAATGTTGTCCATAGTTTGTCATGATCCACACAATTGAAAGCCTTTGTGTAGTCAATAAAGCACAGGTAAACATTTTTCTGATATTCTCTGCTTTCAGCCAATATCCATTGGACATCAGCAATGATATCCCTCATTCCACGACCTCTTCTGAATCTGGCTTGAACCTCTGGACGTTCTCTGTCAATGTATGCTTGTTTCCATTTCTGTATTATCTTTAGTAAAACTTTACCCTCATGGGATATCAAAGATATTGTCCGATGATTTCCGCATTCCATTGGGTCACCTCTCTTTGGAATGGGCACAAATACAGATCTCTTCCAATCAGTCGGCCAGATAGTTGTCTTCCAAATATCTTGGCAGAGATGAGTGAGTGCCTCCTGTGCTGCCTCACTTTCTTTAAAGATTTCCATTTTTATCCCATCAATTCCTGGTGCCTTGTGCTTTCCCAATTCCTTCAATGCACCCTGGACTTCCTCCCTAAGTATCATTGGCTCTTGATCATATAGTACCTCTTGAAACGGTTGAACATTAACCATTTCCTTTGTGCAGTGAATCTGTGTATTCCTTCCATCTTTTCTTGATTCTTTCTGCATCATTCAATAATTTGCCAAGTGAATCTTTCAATAAAGAAAGTCGAGGCTTGAATACAATTCCTAGGCACATAATTTTTTCTAGTCCCTATCAACATATCTGGACTCCTGGTGTGGTGTTGTAGGACCAGCACTGGACTGCAAACCACAAGGTTGGCAGTTTAAACCCACCAATGCTCCTCAGAAGCGCTATATAGGGTCGCATTATGTCAGACCCAACCAGACAGCACTTAGCAACAACAACAATTAACATGTCTAAAGAAAGGATATATTTGTACATTTTTTAAAAATTCAAATCTCAAGAGTTTCTTACCATGGAGTAGTAAAAAATTTTTAGCTTTAAATATTCTAAACACATAGTCAGACAATCTTTTTGAATAACACTTCAGTTGGAATTATTGTTGGTGCCAAACTTTATTCCTTGTACTATACTTAGGAAAACTCAAACATCTGTTTCCTCTATCAATTTTAAGTTCCCACAGGATTTTAATTTCTCTGAGATATTTATAGATGTAAGGAAATGTGTTTTTTGAAGGTTTCTGCTCTTAGTAATTTTTTCCCTTTATATTCTTGTTTTTCATTTAGGAGAAGGTAGCTTTGCAACAGTTTCTTCATGACAGTAATTCAAAGTATTATGATATGTGAAGATACCAAAATATAAACAGGGAAGCTAAGAAAATTAGATGTTAAAAATAGTACCTTCATATAACATAAAATGTGTAAGTCATAAAAAGAAGAGGTTCATAGAATGAAACAATTTCATAGGTTCCTAGGGAACTTAGTTGCCACCCTATCAGCCTTTTTATTTACTATGTTTGCTAGTAATTCATCACATTCAATATTTAATAGCACTATTAATAGGCAACTAAATTGGTCAGTTTGAATTTGTGACACAGTAGGATAAGCACTGAACTGTAAGGTCAGTTTGATCCGCAACGTTGGCAGTTCAAACTCAACAGCCACTCCTCGGAAACCCTATACAGGGTCACTATGAGTTAGAAACAACTCGACCGCACTTAACAACAACAGCAATGTTTTGAAGGGGAAGGAAATTCAAAGGAATGAGTAATACACAATATGAAATTTAACATGGACTGAAATCTTCTGGAAATTGAAGTTAGATTGGATGAGAAAAGATCTATCCAACACCTAGTTAATTCAAAAAACTTTTCACATATAAGCAACTCTAGACTAGTGAAATGAGCAATAGAGTAGGCCACCTGGAGCTCTCCTGGTGAGGCATATAAAGTTTCCCCTGTAAGCAAAAGTTGTTTCATATTAATTTAAGTATTTTGTATATTCATATATGCTAGTATTATGACTTCATTTTGGTCCAGCTGAGAGAATTATAAAGCAGAAGTTAATCATAAAACAAATAGAGAGTCTTATTTTTTTAAGATTGTAAACAAAATAAATAACTATTTTTGGGGAAAGTTCCCATTATATTCTCCTCTATAAACCACATAACAGCATTGTAATTCATGCAGAAGCTGTGAGTTGTTGTTTTGGGGTTTATAAAAACAACAGAAACTCTGAATATGTGAATCCTAATGTTTTCGTAAGGTAATAGGAATGATGAGAGGAGCTAAGATGCTGTTCAATAACCGTAGGACAGGAGAGGTCACAGGAAATGCTCAGATCCTCTAGGACAAAAACAAACCCTTAAATATTATCTCCAATCTTTTAAATAAGGAAGTTCCTATTATGTTTTTTTCTTATACTTTCTTTATGTTTATTTTGCTGTTCTTTTACTAACTTGTTAGGCCTTGTTGAATTTGCTCCAGCTCATGGTGACCCTGGGTATAAAAGAACATTGGCTGCACTAGCATCTTCAGAATCATTGCTACGTTTGAATGTATTGATGTAGTTACTGTCAATCCATGTTATTACAGGGCTCCCTCATTCTCACTGACCCTCTACTTTACCAAGAATGATGCCCATTTCTAAAGTAAGCAAGACTGAGTCTCGCCATTCTTGCGTTAAAGGATCATTCAGGCTGTATTTCTTCCAAGACTGCTTTGTTTGATATTCCATAGCATATTCAGTATTCTTCATCAACACCACAATTCAAAAGCATAGATTCTTCTTTGGTCTTCCTTCTTCATTGTCCATCTTTTGCATACATCTGAGGCAATTGAAAATCTCATAGTTTGGATCAGTCACATGTTGGTCATCAAAGTGATAGTTTTTAAGATTTTAAAGAGGTCTTTTGTAGCATATTTCCTCAATGCAATATGCCATTCGATTTCTTAATAAGTATGATGAGAAGATATAATCCTGGTACATACCTTTTCTGATTTTAAACCATGCAGTATCCCTTTATTTTACTTGAATAACTGCCTCTTGACTTTTGTACAAGTTCCTCATGGACACAATTAAGTGTTCTGGAATTTCCATTTTTGGTATTGTTATCCATGATTTATTATGATCCACACAGATGAATGCCTTTGCACGGTTGATAAAACATAGATAAGCATCTTTCTGATATTCTCTGCTTTCTGATATGAGGATTCTCTGGTATCCACC